CACTGCTGGACCCAAGCACAGAATAATCGGGCCCAGTTAGCCAGACTGAGCAGCACCTGGAATGTTCCCTGGATACCCAAGCACTGCTTGGGAAGTCCTTCCAAAATAAGTTATGACAAAATGTTAAAGATACAATGGAAATGAGTTCTTTAAGGATTTCTCTTCATAGTATATAGAATGAAAATAGAGAATGGAGAAAGAAGAAGTCTTTGGGTTTGGGGTGGAGATGTGGTACACCTAGTGACGCTCAAGGCTTACTCTTAGCACTCATCATGGGGCTCAGGAGACCACATGTAGAGCTGAGGATGGAACTGGCATCAGCTATGTGCAAGGCCAGTGCGTTAACACTTGTACTGTCTTTCCAGCCCCTGTTGTTGCTTTTTTTTTCTTTTTGGGTCACACCCGGCGATGCTCAGGGGTTACTCCTGGCTCTGCACTCAGGAATTATTCCTAGCGGTGCTAGGGGGACCATATGGGATGCTGGGAATCGAACCTGTATCGGCCATGTTGGCTACGTGCAAGGCAAACACCCTGCTCGCTGTGCTATCGCTCCAGCCCCTGTTGTTGCTTTTTTTTTTTTCTGAGCTTTTTCTCAATATTCACATCTAAAATATCAAAACGCTGTCCTTCCCACGTAGGAACTGGAGACTCTCAAGGCCAGGCTCCTGCCCGTGGACCCACTTGCCCTCAGACCAGCCTCCTCTCCTCACCAGATAGCAAGTAGTGTACCCCACTTTCTCCAGGCAAAACACGTCGAGAATGAAGGCCACCCAAAAACGCCCGACACAGGTCATTTTTCCCTGCAGAGAGAGAAACCGGGAAAATAATTGCCTTGGAAGTAACTTGCTCAATGGGCATCCCACGCCTAAAGCCTGCCAGGTGCCCATGCCTGTTAGGTATAAGGTAAGTGTCTGCTTGCAGGCAGCTAAAGAAGCATGCCAGTGTCCCAGAAGATTTGGGTGAAACATTTGCTCACTGCTGTTGGAGTGGTTTGAAATGTCTGGCTGGAAAATGAGCACCTACTTCTCCTTAGCTCTTCATGCCTTACAGCTGCCAAAGGGCAGTGCCTGGATTGTGGTGGGAGAAAGGAGCAGGGGTTTGCAGTATAGCTCCCCAACTGCATGGAGCACAGAGCACAGAGCAGCCACCTCCACACCTCAGCACTGTGACTGCCACCTCATTGGGGCGAGGAAGAGCTCAGTGGAGATGCTGGAACTTGGCCCAGAGCAGGCAGGCAGCAGAGCAGGCACCTAAATACAGGGCATCGGTGCCAACGGTGGAACACTGACCTGGGAGCTGTGCCAGGGTCACAACACAGCTCAGGCTTGCCTCAGCGGGCAGTATGCCCTGCCTGTGCTCTGGCTTCGTACTACCTTCATGCAGCACGTCCTACACATCAGCCTCTTGCTAGGGCTGCCACGGAAGGGATGAGGCGGCATTCGAATCCTGTAAGGTATGCAGGTGGTGGCTGCACACCGCCCCCAGGACGGATGGTGACAGTCACAACTATATTTAGGGCAGGCGATTAGCACAGCCTTCGTGGGTACTGCAAGTACTGGCACAGGGGTTCTCCGCCTTGTGCCAGGGAGCCTATTAGTAATGTGGAACTTGTTCCATGCCAACTGGAAACAGTCACTTTTAACTTTAGCCAGGAGAGAACAGCATCTGACATTTAAAGGGGGGAGAAACGGCTTTAGCCCACCAGCGGGCAGAATGCAACTACCTTTATCTCTGAAGCATTTGATGGGCATCACCCTAGCATCAGTCACTGAAGTCCAGCCACAGACCTAGACTGAGCTTATGTTCTGGGGAAGAGCTTATACTTAAGGAACTGGCAGGTTTTAGAGGTATTTTTAGAAGTACCTGGTGCTCCCAGAAGCAGAGTCATAATTCCTTATGAAAGGGGGTGCCAAGAGACCATATTGACCATGCCTCCTTTATTCTCAAATTCAGAATTCTAAAATTGTCTGCAAAAGAAATTACATTTACAGTCCTCGAGATAGCCTGATAAGAGAGAAATAAAATGATGTTCAGGACAGAGAGTTTAAATAAGTATCTTCTTACCAGATAGTTCTAGTTGGATTAATTAACATAATAATAATAATTGCCATTTCAAAAAGGGGATAGTGCTAAAAAGGTGTAGGTGGTCTTCTAAGGCTCAGCTTTAGTCCATGGAAACTCTAAGAAAGTACTACTATGCCCATTTTATAGATAGCAAAGTGAGGTATGAAAAAAAGACCACAACACACTCAAAATCACACAATTGGTAAGTTGTCGGCTTGTCCTTGAACTCAGCTGTCTGGATTCTAGATTCCCTGTGCTTAACCACACTACCATGAAGAAATCTTTTTTTTTTTTTTTAAATTTTTGACTTTTCACTCAGGAGTTACTCCTAATGGTGCTCAGAGGACCATCTGGGATGCTGGGAATCAAAGCCGGGTCTGCCAAGTGCAAGGCAAATGCCCTACCTGCTGTGCTATCTCTCCAGCCCCAAAGAAATCATTTTTTTACACTAAAAGCTGGGTAACAGAACAATGCCATTGTGGTTTTTATGGGTGGAAAGCATTTACTTTTAGTAAAGAGACCCTTAGCATGTCAACGTTTTTAACATTCCACTTCTCTACACATGTAAGGTCCTCAAACAAACAAACACACAAACAATGCTCCAATCAAACTTGCAACAGCTTGACTACTTCCAAGGACACAGTTCCTCCAGGGACCTGGAGAAGAGTTTCCTCAAATTTGTTAGAAACAGCCCTGAACTGCTATGTACAGTTAGGGTTTGCCTAATGGTAGAATTTATTCACTCAAAACACACCCAGTAACTACCACCAGAAAAACACTGTGCTGAGCACCGTGGAAATGGGGATGCAAGAGACCTGAAAGTCCAGGCCTGGGCAACAAGGGCACAAACAGCTCATCCTGGCTGTGTGGGGGCTAGTAATAGAGATTGTGGCATGAAAAAGTGCTGTGAGAGCTCAGATGTGGACGTTTTTAATCTGCAGAGGAGGGTGGATGTCACAGGAACTGATGTTCTCAGGACGCCGCTAAGGACAAATAGCAGGTGATCTAATCAAGCAGAAAGAATTGAGTGATCTAACATTATACCTAGAGAAACTAGAAATAGAGGAATAAACAGAACCAAGAATCAGTCTAGAACTGATAAAAGGACTTTTTTTTATTAAAAAAAATTTTAGTAGTGAGACATCATGAGGTACAGTTGCAGACTTACACATTTTTGTGCTTGGGTTTCAATTATACAATGATCAAATACCATCCCTCCACCAGTGCCCACTTCCCACCACCACGGATCCCAGTATCCCTCCCACCCCCCATCCGCCCCATCCCACCCTGTCTCTGTGGCAGGGCATTCCCCTCTGTTCTCTCTCTCCTTTTGGGTGTTGTGGTTTGCAAAAGAGACATTGAGTGGCAATCATGTTTGGTCTATAGTCTACTTTCAGCATGCTTCTCCCATCCTGGGAGGATCCTCCCCACACCTTTATTTGGTGTTCCCCTCTTTATCTGAGCTCCCTTTTCCCCTAGTATGTGTGGTATGTGTGGCCTCCAAGTCATGGAGTAAAATTCCTGGTACTAATCTCTGCCATTCTTGGGTGTTAGTTTCCTATTTTGTTACTTTATGTTCCCCAGATGAATACAATCTTTCTATGTCTATCCCTTTCTTTCTGAGTCATTTCACTTAACATGATACTTTCCATGTAGTACCACTTGTATGTAAACTTCGTGACTTCGTCTTTTCTAACAGCTACATAGTACTCCATTGTGTAAATGTACCAAAGTTTCTTTAACCAGTCATCTGTTCGTGGGCACTCAGGTTTCTTCCAGTTTCTGGCTATTGTAAAGAGTGCTGCAATGAACAAACAAGTGCAGATGTCACTTCGACTATACATTTTTGCCTCTCTGGGATATATTCCCAGGAGTGGTATTGCTGGATCAAATGGAAGCTCAATTTCTAATTTTTTGAGAATCGTCCATACTGTTGATAAAAGGATATTTATCTAAGACTAAGGAACCAATGGAAAAAAATAAAGTTCCTTCAACACATGATGTTAGGAAAATGGGACAACCATGTGCTGTACAAAATATTAAAACTTGAATACTACTTAGTACCTTTTGCAAATATTAGTGAAAATAAAGATTTGTGTCTTTGACTGAAACCCATAAAATACACAGAAGAAAACATGAGGAATAGACTCTAGGACCTAACATTAGAAATAAATTTGGGTGGGCTAGAGCAGTAGTACAGCAGAGAGGGCACTTGCATTGCACATGACCCATCCAGGTTCAATCCCCAGCATCCTATTTGGTCCCTCAAACACCACCAGGAGTCATATCTGAGTGCAGAGCCAGGAGTAAACTCTGAGAATCACCAGGTGTGGCCCAAAAACAAACCAAAAGACAGACAGACAGACTGACAGACAGACAGAAAGAAAGAAAGAAAAAGAAAAAAAGAAAGAAAGAAAGAAAGAGAGAAAGAAAGAAATGTATTTGGAAATCAACTTTATTTGCAAGAGAAACAAATGGGACCGCTCAAATTATAGTTTTTTTTTTTTACCCAGCAAAACAAACCTTCACAAAACAAGTATTATCCCAGTAATCAAGGGAAGATATTTGTACATCATCCATCTGACAAAGGGGTAAGATCCAAAACACATCAAGAACTCATACCACGTCACAACAGAAAAGCAGTAATCCAGTTTTTTAAATGGGAAAAAGACCTGAATAGAAATTTCTCCAAAGGAAACACATATGTGACCTCAGACAGATGGAAAAGATTCAACATTACTCACTTATTAGGGAAAAGCAAGTCAAAACTTCCCATCACCTCTCACCCATATGTCAACAAGATAAAAACAAGTGTTGTCGAGGGTGTGGAGAGAAAATCAACACTGGAATACTCATGGGGAGATGTAATTGAGACAATTTCTTTGGGAAATGATAAGAAGATTCCTATGAAAATTAAAATAAAAATATCTTCCAGCGTTGGTTGAAAATCACCCACAGCTTTGCCCATAGCCATGGGTGAGATTTGGTGCGCAGAGCCAGTGGGGTCTCAGCTCACCTGCCCACTCTCGATAAGGAGAGGTGAAACACAGGCTCACTGTGCCATGATTCCCTCTAAAAGGCATCAGTCTAAACTCTTAGTCTCATCGCATCTCCCCTCTCTCTTTCCAAGGACTCCCGCTCCCTAAGTACTTACAGAGAACCGGGAGTCCCCACAGTGGGGCCTACATGGCCGCGTGCATGAGTCAGCAGCCTCACTTCCTTCCCATGTTTTCTATCCTGCCACGCCACTTCACTTTCCCCTGTGTGCCCTGAGCTCTCTACTTGCTTTCCTACAACCTATCTAGGTTTACTCTCCTGAGCGTGTGTGCGTGCATGTGTGTGTGCGTGTGTGTGCATGCGCATACTCCACTTTGAGGAGACACCTAGTAGTTGGGTAGATAGTCAAGTAGAGCAGATGCATTTTATGTCCCTCTTCCACACCCCTCCAGCACCAGGTAGTGACCTCACCCCTCTCCCCCCAGCGCATACTATTGACCACTCAGCGTAACTACCTCCAGGAGCCTGCCTTCCTCCCTCAGTGAAGCTGGTGTCCTTCCCTATGTCCCCTGGGCTGTAGCAATGGCATGCTGCATATGGTGATTTCTTTGTTTCTTTAATCACACCCAGTGGTGCTTCGGGGTTACTCTCGACAGATTTCTCAGGTGTTACTTCCAGCAGTGCTCAGGGGACCATTCAGTGGCTGAATAGAAGTGGGGCCTTGGGCACATGAAGCCCACATCCCCGCCTTGCGCGATCACCCCAGCCTTGCTCTCCTCTGTTGGTCTTTCCTTCATAGCTAGAGCTTCTTCAGGCAGGGCTCACTTTTTCTCTCTGCAACTTCCCTGGTCGTAATGCATGACTTTCAATGAACACATGAGGAAAATCCATAACGATCTCTCTCAGTCTCATTGAAAATTTCAGTGAGTACATTCACATTTACCACTTCTTGTATGTTGGCTTTCTGGGCAGGGGGAAACAGGCATTCTGCCTTCAGGAGCTTCTGGAGAAAAATTTTTTTGCCTTGTTTTGTTATGAAGTCACACCTGGCTATGCTCAGGGCTTACCTGTGGCTCTGCACTCAGGAATTATTCCTGGCAATGCTCTGGGGACCATATGGGATGACAGTGATCAAACCTGGGTCAGTTGCATGCAAAGCAAGCATCTTACCCACTGTACCATTAGTCTGGCCCCCGAGAAACTGTTTTGTGGACTTCCTCCAATCCCTGGCAAAAGACCACTCACTTATTAGATTATTGATTTTATAGCAAGCTGGGAGGGGGGGACCCAGCCGAGCCAGGTTCGATCCCTCCGCCCCTCTCGGAGAGCCTGGCAAGCTCCCCGTGTCATATTCGATATGCTAAACACAGTAACAACAAGTCTCACAATGGAGATGTTACTGGGCCTGCTCGAGCAAATCGATGAACAACGGGAGGACAGTGCTGCAGTGCTATAGTGCTTTCTCTAATGAAAAAGGAGAAGAGAAATTTAGAATTATAGCAGCTGGGGCAAGTCTATTAGAGTATTCCTCTAGTCTGAAGATTGGGGTTTGAACCAAAGTAGTGTCAGATATCGCTGATAATTAGGTAAATGAATAAGTTATTATTAGTTTCAGCTACATAGAATAGGCACCACTGTCACTGGCTTAAACAGAGATACACTTTCTTACACAGCATGTCTGGAGGCTGGCTGGCAACTTCTATTTCTAGCAGTGAGAACCTGTGTTATGTTAGTAATTTTCAAACTATTTGGATATCTGTAAACTAAAAATAGTGTTATCACAGGGTTTTGTGGAGATTTGATGTGATGGGCCCTGGCACAGGATACTAAGTAAATATTTTTGAAAACGTTTTCCTAAAAACACCAACTATTTAATGTATTGTAGCAAACTGCTCTATAAGTTTTTCGCTCTTTTAATGCTGGATCTCTAACGCCAAAGAGACTCCCCACTCCCAAGTGTGTAACTGTTTTACATACACATTTAAAATTCCATATATTATGAATATATGAGAAACCACTTTAACATGTTGCTGCTGATGTGTACCACTGGTGGCTCACACTTATCTACTTGCCCGTGGCCGAATGAACACAAATCAAAACAGTGTTCAGTGTTCATTCAGTGTTCATCACCAGTGTTATTTTTTAAGCAGCAGGAATATACAAAAGTTCCCAGTGGGAATAGCACTGGCAAAGTGTCCAGTGCTTTTTGTACAGAGCCAAACCACAGATGTCTCAAACATAAGAGGACTTAGAAAGCTCTGTCTTTTATAGTAAGAATCATGTACCTAGTTTGAAAAGAATCTGTAAAATGTGAAGGTCCACGGGCTGTTCTTCGAGGTACAGATCTTATTAGCTTGTATTTTCCCAAACTACTGCTGAGTGCTGCTCCTGGTTTTCCAGAACTTCTCCCCAGAGACTGGCTCTTCTGCCCGGGCGCTACACCCCTCTGAAAACTCATACTCTCTGCTGCTTCCATCCCTGCACCCCATTGCTTCCCTCCCCTTCATTTTCTCAGACAGTGGTTCTTTCCTTTTTTTTTCTTTTTGGGTAATGTCTGGCGATGCACAGGGGTTACTCCTGGCCCTGCACTCAGGAGTCACTCCTGGCGGTGCTCAGGGGACCATATGGGATGCTGGGAATCAAACCTGGGTCGGCTGCGTGTAAGGCAAATGCCCTACCCATTGTGCTATCATTCCAGCCCCAGTGGTTCTCTCTAATCTGCTTATAATCATCATAAGACCTTTTTCCATGCCTCAACCCTCAAATCATGTTCCACTCTAGGGAAACCTAACCCAGTTCTTCTCCAAGGCACATACAATAGTTCCATACTTGAAATCTGCTACATAACGGCAGGGACAGCAGCAGCCTGGGGTGAGCATGAGGCACCATCTACTGTGAAACTCTTGGGAACATGCAAAGGTGCCAGGCAGGCAGCAGGCCAGTCAGTTGCTTGCTGAGCCGAAGTCCTTCAGCTCCACCTTGGGGGACTGACCTTTGCCCCAGAAACTTTGAGTCCTGGTGTATTTTGAACTTCGGGTGGAAAGTCCTGCCTCGGATGTAGGTCTCTCCTCTTCCTCCCCTCTACCTCCCCCCAGCAGACCTTGCCCTTTAGGACAGAGATCAGGTGGAATATTACTAGGCTTGAAAACTGATGCCTTGCCCTTTCCAGCTCTTGCACATACAGGCATCAACAATGTGCATGGGTTTTTATAGTTTATAAGACACCTTGGAATGTCATCACTCGCAAAATATCTGCACATCTCTAGAGGGAAGCACCGTGTCCTTGTCACCATGATTTACACTGGAGATAAAAGAGAAAGCCAACTTGAACTTTCAGCTAGCTTTTATGTGAACTTAACTTTTGGTTTACAAGTTTCCTTTTGTTAAATGGATAAAAATCTCACACTAAGCCCTCCCTGGGACATCTTTTCTTTCCTACTGAAGCCACTTACCCTCCAATCCAGAGAAAACTGTTGGAGTAGTTTTGCCTGTTTTAGAATACCATGTAAGTCGAATGATGCTGAACATGCTTTTAAATGTAAAGATTCAAGGGGCCAGAAAAAAAAGAGGATTAAGGCACATGTTGTGCATGTAGCTGACTACAGTTTCATCACTAACACCACAGGCAAGCATTTCTGGGTGCAGCCTCAGAGGCCTCCAGCTCACTGTCACCCCAGGCCTTCTGAGCACTGTGTGGAAGCAACCCCCCAAAGTGAAGACTCACTCATATAGCATAATGCTTTTGAAATTTATCCATACCATATCACTAGTTAGCATTCTTGTTATGATTGCACATAGGTTATTTACCCATAGGCTGTTTTCCTGTTCCTAATCAGTATTTTTTTTTTCTTTTTTGGTCACACCCAGTGATGCTCCTGGCTCTTCACTCAGAAATTACTCTTGGGGCTGGAGAGATAGCACAGCAGGTACGGTGTTTGCCTTGCATGCGGCCAACCCAGGTTCGATCCCCAGCATCCAATATGGTCCCCTGAGCACCGCCAGGAGTAACCCCTGTGCATCACCAGGTGTGACCCAAAAAGCAAAAAAAAAAAAATTTCCGTTGGCAGTGCTTGGGGGACCATATGGGATGCTGGAGATTGAACCTGGGTCAGCTGCTTACAAGGCAAAAGCCTTACCCACTATACTATCACTCTGGTCCCTTAATCAATTTTTAATTTGGGATATTCTGATAAAAGTTGCTATACCTTCACTTTAAAAATTGTGGATATAGGTTTTTATTTGTCTTGGCTAAATACTTAGTGATGGAATTGCTGGGATAGGAGATACATTTAGTTTTTAAAGAAACTACTTGATCGTTCCTTAAAATTATTGTACCATTTAAAACTCTTGTCAACAAGACCTAAGAGTTCACGCTACTCCATATCCTCCCAATAATTTAATATTATTGGTTTTTCAAAAATTTTAGCCATTCTAAAAGATACATGGTGAAATCTCATTATGGGTTATTTTTCATTTTCCCAAACTTGGCTTAACAGTGAATACTCTTTCATGTGCTTATCGGTCATTCAAAGATTATTGAAAATGTCATTTGAAAAAATTTTGCCCATGTAAAACAATGTTTTTTTTTTTTAAAAACACTTAGTCTTTTTTGTTTTTGAACATAGCAGTTCTCCATAAATTCCTGATATGGTTTTTATTGTTTTTGCCAAGCACATATTTTGGGATTATGAGAAATTGACTTTTTTGTAAAGTGGAAATAACTTCAGATAATAGTGGAAGACACAATAATTGTTTCAAAAGTCAGCTTTTCCTTCATGTTTAGATATTTTTCTATGGAAATTATCGCTGAACTTTACTTTTAACTAACCAATTACTCTTTGCTTCCAGGATTGGGTTATTCTGACCTATTTGGGGAAATAAAAAGGTTTTATCTGACCTCAAACCAACCATCAACCTGGATTTCTGCTATCCACCAGGTGTTGTGATTTCTCTTCTGAACAATGTACCAGTCTCTTTCTGATCTCTTCATGTCCCCATTTCCTGTATTCCCTCTATCTCCGGTACCTGGCATGATGACTCTAAATATTTGCTGAGTTTTATGAA